AGGAGTCCTGGTGCCCCATGACTTAAAGTCTTACGCTAACTGTGACAAAAATGCCTTCCGAGCAAACCTTGCACTGGTAACGTTGAAGCGCATTTTTGGCCAGTTTGACGGAAGAACTTTCCATATAATCTTCAATAGTTTCATCCTTCCTCATTTAGAGTACGGAAACAGAGTATTTCCTCCCTCACTCCAGAAGGACAAGGACACTCTGGAGCGTATCAAACGGCGAGCCACGAAATCAGTTCGGCGACTCAAATTCAAACTTTATGGAGAGCTCCTTCAATCACTTAACCTTTACCCATTAGAGTATAGACGTCTTAGAGGTGACGTTATGATGGCTCACAGTATCCTTAACACTTCTGGACGTCATCTCAAGCACCTACTTAAGCTTAGTTCCAACACTAACCTAAGAGGTAACACCCAGAAATTGGAAACACGACATAGCAGAACGGACTGTAGACACAACTTCTACTCCTTAAGAGTAGTCAAAAGCTGGAATTCGCTGCCGGCCGAGCTAGTCCAAGCGACTTCCCAGGAGACCTTTGATAGGCAACTAGATCTATTTTTAAGGATTAAGGATAGTATCATGCTATGATTTACCGATTTCTTTTCCCTCTTTTATTGTTAACATACCTAGGTTCCTGCCTGGAGTTAATCGTGATCCCCTGCTACTAGACACGGAAGCCTGTTAAGCGAAAGCTTCTTCTATTCCGTCCACAACTATTTGAACTATTTGTACAAACAGGTCCCTCAAGGTCAAAGTGTAAATTGGTCCGTATGCGACATGTTGCAGACTGCAGTTACAACTTAGGAAACTCCTCGCTAGTAGTATCCCAAGTCGAAAAAGATTTAGGAGTCCTGGTGCCCCATGACTTAAAGTCTTACGCTAACTGTGACAAAAATGCCTTCCGAGCAAACCTTGCACTGGTAACGTTGAAGCGCATTTTTGGCCAGTTTGACGGAAGAACTTTCCATATAATCTTCAATAGTTTCATCCTTCCTCATTTAGAGTACGGAAACAGAGTATTTCCTCCCTCACTCCAGAAGGACAAGGACACTCTGGAGCGTATCAAACGGCGAGCCACGAAATCAGTTCGGCGACTCAAATTCAAACTTTATGGAGAGCTCCTTCAATCACTTAACCTTTACCCATTAGAGTATAGACGTCTTAGAGGTGACGTTATGATGGCTCACAGTATCCTTAACACTTCTGGACGTCATCTCAAGCACCTACTTAAGCTTAGTTCCAACACTAACCTAAGAGGTAACACCCAGAAATTGGAAACACGACATAGCAGAACGGACTGTAGACACAACTTCTACTCCTTAAGAGTAGTCAAAAGCTGGAATTCGCTGCCGGCCGAGCTAGTCCAAGCGACTTCCCAGGAGACCTTTGATAGGCAACTAGATCTATTTTTAAGGATTAAGGATAGTATCATGCTATGATTTACCGATTTCTTTTCCCTCTTTTATTGTTAACATACCTAGGTTCCTGCCTGGAGTTAATCGTGATCCCCTGCTACTAGACACGGAAGCCTGTTAAGCGAAAGCTTCTTCTATTCCGTCCACAACTATTTGAACTATTTGTACAAACAGGTCCCTCAAGGTCAAAGTGTAAATTGGTCCGTATGCGACATGTTGCAGACTGCAGTTACAACTTAGGAAACTCCTCGCTAGTAGTATCCCAAGTCGAAAAAGATTTAGGAGTCCTGGTGCCCCATGACTTAAAGTCTTACGCTAACTGTGACAAAAATGCCTTCCGAGCAAACCTTGCACTGGTAACGTTGAAGCGCATTTTTGGCCAGTTTGACGGAAGAACTTTCCATATAATCTTCAATAGTTTCATCCTTCCTCATTTAGAGTACGGAAACAGAGTATTTCCTCCCTCACTCCAGAAGGACAAGGACACTCTGGAGCGTATCAAACGGCGAGCCACGAAATCAGTTCGGCGACTCAAATTCAAACTTTATGGAGAGCTCCTTCAATCACTTAACCTTTACCCATTAGAGTATAGACGTCTTAGAGGTGACGTTATGATGGCTCACAGTATCCTTAACACTTCTGGACGTCATCTCAAGCACCTACTTAAGCTTAGTTCCAACACTAACCTAAGAGGTAACACCCAGAAATTGGAAACACGACATAGCAGAACGGACTGTAGACACAACTTCTACTCCTTAAGAGTAGTCAAAAGCTGGAATTCGCTGCCGGCCGAGCTAGTCCAAGCGACTTCCCAGGAGACCTTTGATAGGCAACTAGATCTATTTTTAAGGATTAAGGATAGTATCATGCTATGATTTACCGATTTCTTTTCCCTCTTTTATTGTTAACATACCTAGGTTCCTGCCTGGAGTTAATCGTGATCCCCTGCTACTAGACACGGAAGCCTGTTAAGCGAAAGCTTCTTCTATTCCGTCCACAACTATTTGAACTATTTGTACAAACAGGTCCCTCAAGGTCAAAGTGTAAATTGGTCCGTATGCGACATGTTGCAGACTGCAGTTACAACTTAGGAAACTCCTCGCTAGTAGTATCCCAAGTCGAAAAAGATTTAGGAGTCCTGGTGCCCCATGACTTAAAGTCTTACGCTAACTGTGACAAAAATGCCTTCCGAGCAAACCTTGCACTGGTAACGTTGAAGCGCATTTTTGGCCAGTTTGACGGAAGAACTTTCCATATAATCTTCAATAGTTTCATCCTTCCTCATTTAGAGTACGGAAACAGAGTATTTCCTCCCTCACTCCAGAAGGACAAGGACACTCTGGAGCGTATCAAACGGCGAGCCACGAAATCAGTTCGGCGACTCAAATTCAAACTTTATGGAGAGCTCCTTCAATCACTTAACCTTTACCCATTAGAGTATAGACGTCTTAGAGGTGACGTTATGATGGCTCACAGTATCCTTAACACTTCTGGACGTCATCTCAAGCACCTACTTAAGCTTAGTTCCAACACTAACCTAAGAGGTAACACCCAGAAATTGGAAACACGACATAGCAGAACGGACTGTAGACACAACTTCTACTCCTTAAGAGTAGTCAAAAGCTGGAATTCGCTGCCGGCCGAGCTAGTCCAAGCGACTTCCCAGGAGACCTTTGATAGGCAACTAGATCTATTTTTAAGGATTAAGGATAGTATCATGCTATGATTTACCGATTTCTTTTCCCTCTTTTATTGTTAACATACCTAGGTTCCTGCCTGGAGTTAATCGTGATCCCCTGCTACTAGACACGGAAGCCTGTTAAGCGAAAGCTTCTTCTATTCCGTCCATAACCATTTGAACCCAACACACCCACGGCAATTGAAATACGGAATGACCGTCTCTAATCAGGCTGTTTAAGGTCGTTGAAACGAAACGGCGGATTACCGTTTTTACCTTGCCTGCCTGACCTTCTGAATTTTAACTACCGATCACTAATCAACAAAGTGGACTATCTGCAATTCCTACTATGTCAAAGTATGTATCTTAATTGTGGTGTCGTCACAATTCACGAACCTTGGTTAAATGATTTACAGGACGACTGCCTAGTATCAGTACGTGGTTTCACAATTTATCATCAGGATCGATCAAAGAATCAAAAGAGGTGTGGCGGCGGTGTGGCTACGTTTGTAAACGTGAACTGATGTCGATCTTCCTTTGCGTGTTTCAAGTTTTCAAATGACTTTATCGACTGTCTAACTCTAAGATGTCATCCAAAACATCTGAATAAATACAAATATGTTTGTGTTACCAATATCTACGTGACTTCAAACTACACATCATCTGCGCTATCTGTTTTCGCTGATGAATTCACTGAGTTCTCTGTTACTGCCTTCAGTGATTCACTTGCAGTTGTATGTGGTGATTTCAGTTCATGTGATGGTAGCTTCCTCACGTCACTAGGTCACCAAAATTAGTAGATCTTCCTACTCATTTGGATGCTCATTTAGACTTAGTTTTCATTAATGATGTGGGCATACATGTGACTCGCAAAACGTGCTCCATTGTCCAGCTCGGGCCAATGTATAATTCGTGTTCTACCTAAAGTAAAGGGAAGCATGGTAAGAGTACACTGTTACACCAAACCAACAAAGTCAAATATAGAAATTACTCAGAAGAAAATATCCGAAATCTGAAAAACATGTTTCATACGACTAACTGGTGGTTATTTACAGATGACTCACTGGAAATCACTACTGATGTTACAACCTGTTACCTAAAATTCTGTTTTGATATTTGTTGTCCCACTGAAACCATTTTTGTAAGTTTTGATGGACTTACGTCTTCACAACTAAAACGACTACGGAGGGTAAAATAAAGAATGTACAAGAAGAAAAACTCTAATGAAGTTCGCAAGCTAAATGGTCTAATAAACCTAGAGATTAGAAGTCTCAGCTCTATGTTTACTCAAAAACTCTTGTCATGCAAAAACTCTCCAACTATGTGGAAACTCTTTAAGAACATACAAGTGACAGACAGATTAGGAGCGATAACCGGCTAAGTGTTTGTGACTTAAATAAGTCTTCTGTACGTCAGTCATCTCATGTAATGTTCCCTTTATCCACAGGTTTAAAGAACGACTGTGTTCCTAGTTTCACTGAAACTGATGTCCGAAGATGTCTCCAGTCAATTAACTCATCCCGATGTTTAGAACCTGATGGTATCACAAACCTCCCTTTCAAAAAATGTGCTGACGTCCTATGTTATCCATTGACGAGTATCTTTAACAGATCCTTCTCATCTAATCTCATACCGAAAATGTGGAGAAAGATGAAGATAATTCCTGTACCCAAGAAAGCATCTGGTGATAAGAATGTGAAATTTAGACCAATTGCAATAACGTCACCCTTCCTAAAAACAATGGAAAAATTATTAATACTTCCACTTCAGCCTGCGATAAAAGAGTGTATTGATCCATATCAGTTTGCTTACAGATGCAAAAGAAGCACCTTAGATACTGTTGCTGTTCTGCATCATAATATATTGTTCAACTTAGAAAAGGGTAAGAAGTATGTTCGATGTGCTTTTCTGGTCTATACTTCAGCTTTTGATTCTACACCAAGACAACGTTTACTTAACAAGTTGATCAGCGTCAACACTGACAGCTGGATAACCAACTGGCTATGTTCCTACCTCTCTGGAAGGGAACAGTACACTGTATTTGGAAGAAAGTGTTCAGTCTCTACTGTTTCATGAAGGTGTACCACAAGGAGCTGTTGTTTCACCTCTTCTTTTCTCTTTTTTTTCTACATGATCTGACATCTACCACACAAAACACTGTGAAATATGCGGATGATCTCACTGTATGTATTCCTATCTCTTCCTCTTAACATCCCATAGAAATGAATGACTTTTTGTCTCATACTGATTGTTGGTCTGTTGGTAATGGTCTTACACTTAATCCGTCTAAATGTCAAGCTGTTAACTTTAGCATGAGACATGAACGGCATTTAAACACCATTTTAAGACCCCATAATGCTTGTACCATTGGAGACTCTTTGATAAACACAGTGTTGAAGATCGATTATCTTGGTGTTACATTTTCCTCTGATGTCTCTTGGTCTTCTCACGTTTTGTTGTTATCGAAGATGGTTTTCCGTTTGACTTACTATATAAAGAGATTGCATGCTCTTGGGATTACTCGTCATTTACTCTTACGATTTGTCAATTCTTGCATATTACCTATTATTCTTTACTGTTCTCCATTATTCTTTCCCGGGATTTTCAGAAAAGAATTTGCTGTATTGCGGGCACGGACTAGCGGGTAAGCCAGGGATTTTCGCGCACACGTTACATATTGTCGTGGATTTTTTGTGTCGTTATTTATCAGCTATTAACAGGCTTTTTTGTATGACACATCAATTTCTGTATTGCTAGTGCTTGTAACATAGTTTTATTCCAATTTATTGGCAGTTTGACGTATTTCTTGCTCACCACGTAAGTAAATCTGAAGTTAGCTTAATATAGTTATTTGTAACAATACAAACTCAAGCAAGTGAAGTTCACCGTTTTTCTAGTCAAAAAATACACCACAGATTGAGTTTTCATGAAAATGAACCGTAAAATCTTTTACATATGGTTCACCTCCTTGATTGCGGTGACGGTGAACATGAATGTCGGTAGTTGTTTATAAAATGTAAGTAGAAGCAATCAAGCGTTAACCTAATTGTGAATATTATATAACTTGCTTGTATTTAGCCATAAAAAGTTATATTTATTAGAGGTACCATTGTTTTGTACTGAAGTGACATAATTATGTAACGTATCGTTTACTCAACGGATCACAAACCATCCACGAACTAGTACACCGATGGTTGTGAGACATGTTGTAAGATTTTATAACGTATTGTTGACCCTCCAATCTTACGCGAAACATCGATTGGCAATTTAAAAATTTAGACCTTAAATGTAACACATTAGTTAGAGTCCTCACGGTTTTTTATTCACATTCAGACATTCTGATTTACGTTTACGACCAAACGTGCAACGAAACACTACGAACAAGTATTTATATCTCACATCCTTCAACAATCTACTTTCTGCGTGAACATAGTGTGTATGGGTCATCTGAGAAAACATAGGTTTATCCTATCATACTTTAATCCAGCTTCCGAATCTCTTGTTCAGCATAATACGTTGGAACGCGTCGCTTACGTTCACTGAAATTTCACTTGAGCATGAAGCACTAGAGACAACATACAATAGTTATTAAAAAAAGGTTATTCCTTGAAAAAAATTAACTGAAGGAAGAACAACAAATATTTAGGACTTACCCTTCAATTGACATTTCGTCTTAACTCACAAAAACTAGGCGCATCTATAACCTTTTACGTTATTTTATCTTTCTTACGTTGTTTTCTGGACCTTATCAACAAATTATATATAGCTGTTGACTTTCACTACAGCACTTAGGACCACAGATCAAGTTTCGAAGGAACAACTGAGCTAAAGTGTGCACTACAAAACAGAAAATACTCAGTTAATGCTCTTAGCAGTTATTTAGTGTTTATTATGCATCAAAAGATGACTTATATATGGAAACATTTAATACTCATAGGACCCAACACACACACGGCAATTGAAATACGGAATGCCCGCTTCCAGTCAGCGCGTTCAAGGTCGTTGAAACGAAACGGCGGACAGATTTGAAAGGGATTACCGTTTATACCTTGCCGTATTGCGGAGACTGCTGAAGGCAGTTTGTTATGACCTTGATGTCTGGCTTTCTATCACGCGACTTATCGACCAGTCAGAATACGACTTATACAAGTTTCGCACTATGCCAAACCAATGACGTTCAACCGGTATGAGCAGTTTAGCATCCTGATTGGTCCTATGTCCTTCTAGCCCTTCCACTTGGGTCCAGAACACAATACCAGCTTCTGTAATATGAATCGAATCGAATCGAATCGAATAGTTTATTTCAGACATATATATCAATCAGACAGACCACAACGTACCATAAAATAGAAAATAACATGTGTACACAAATAAGCCAAAAAGTGGCTGTCAACGAGGGGGACAGTAATTAATAGACTGAGCATAGCTTAAGAATCGTAAATCGTACAATAATAAAATATAGGTCAAAATAAAGCTTATGATAAGAGGAATATAAATATACATAATCTAAATATTCAATAGTTTTACAAGAAGAATATTTATAGAATATTAGTCCATTAATAGGCCTGGGGAGTTACCTGTAATTTAATCTTCATTGGATTATAACACAGTTAGCAAGGTTTGAGGTGAATCTTCCGAGGTCATAATTAAAGTGGTTGTGGATAGACATCTAGAGTCATGCAAACTCCTGGCAGTTGTTATTTTATTAGGTACCATCCATCTTTATTCATATATTTCTCCTTGTATATCTTCCGGTAGAACGAGAAGTAATTACATTAAAATCCATGCACGCAAAAAAAGTATAAAAGTTCTATACCTTACCTAGCAAATATACTCTGTGACGAACAGGTTATTAGAGTTAATCTAGTCAATAACTTGCATTCTTAACATGTCTCTAATTTGAAAAGTTGTACAGTTTTTTCAGATATTTTTAAACCGATTTTCCCTTTTTCTGTCTTTGTTTCTGTTTTTTGTGTAGGAAACTTGTTGGAATACCCTGTGTTGAGAATTTCTATATTGTATCAAAATATATAATATTAAACAAAGTCATTAATAGTAATAATAATAAATACTTAATTCACTTCCCCTCACAACATAATTCTTACCTTAACTAATTCAATGGGTAATCACGGAACTTCTGTTATGATCTATTATCTAAACTCCTGATCACTTATTGTTTAGTATATGTTTTTACATTGTTTTGGATGATGAAACTACGAAGTTGGGGTACAAATACACTAATGATAAAAAAGCGAGATGTAGTTACTGTAATTCCTCGAACGTCTGCATTACCAATCAGGCTCAGATAATACGAACATTAATTACACGACTGTGGTATTTGCAAGAACTAATGATTTAAATGTATTTATTTGTGCACTGATTACGAATTACAAATATAATATGTTCATTTGTGCTCATCTAGTTCTACCTGCCTTAAAACGCAGTATTTCCGGAATTCTCAGTAAATACATAAATTCGAATAATTCTGATTATAAAATAACCCACATTTCTGCATGTGACATTCTGTTTCAAAATTTATTTTGTGCGATTATTCCATCAATACTAATGTCAAAAGCCAAAGTAACGCTAATTAGTTGTAAACAATCACCTCATTAATTCAAAAATAAATGTTTGTATATCCATAAATCATTTAATGAATCCTTATTTAATCTAACCTGATAAATATTACAAATAACAAATATGCTTACATGAAACACATGAAATTAATAATTTGAACAAAATACCACAAAATATGCACTAATGTATGAAAGTGTACAAAATAACACTGAGAAATAGTAAATAATAAAAGTTATTCAGATGAAGTCCTCTGAGTTGAGATCCATTGTTTCCTTCGTTACAATGTGACTGATTCGTGTATGGTCCGATACAAAGCGAGTACATAGTTGCATGTGCAATAAATGTGTTATCCAATGAAGAATGAAATAGTTCACTGTAAGGTCCATTATATGTATGACTGTGAAATAGTTATGCTCAAAAATTAGGCCTCTTGGTAGCTATCTAGTTGAAATGCAATGCAATACTCATAATACTTGCGACGGAAAATAAAGTATTTTGCATCTTTCTCGATTGTCAACCACTATGATCCAACATTTTACTCACCGCTCCATTGATAAAATAATCTTTAACAAATGCATGACTACATATAATTTTGACGTTATCCAAGTTCCGAAGTATTTCAAGAAATTGGTGTTTAGTGATTGTTTAACGAACTGTTTTAGAAAGTGTGGGAACGAGTCGAAATTCTAGTACATAAACGATACGACAATGAATGCCTGTATTGGTATTGCAGGTCTGACACTGTAATTTAAGTGGTGATAACAATTTCGATTTTCGAAATTCTACAGACACGAGACATAGCTTGCGGGGGACCTCATCGGTTAACCGGCACGTAGTCTTTCTGTAGTGGTGATCATTGTCAGCCGTGACTCGACGCCACACAAAAAATGTTAGTCCAAACACTGTCAAATATGGTACAAAACCCTCAGGTATTTATGATTTTTAGTAGAAGCGAAAAGCAACGTATCACCATCAAAACGTTTTTCATTTATTTTATTTTGTTTCCTCTCTAATGATCTGGATATGCGAAGTTTGTTTATGTTTAAATTTACGATGATTACTATCACGATTGATACCCTGACACATTAGATATTCTATTCGTCCCTTCTTTTCCTTCTAAACATATTTGATTCCTAAACATCCAAAGTCCATAACTAAAAACAAATTATCTAGTGTTACACTTAAATAAATTAACTTCTCACATTCATTTTATCTTCACCACATATTTATAACACATAGAAATTGATATTTGATTATCCTTTGCAATTAATTGAGACACTCATAACATCACTTCAAATCATTACTGCGCAAGCACTTATTCAGCCGTCGAATCATACTGCAATAATAAGTTGTTTTCTTACTTATTTTTAATCTTCTTTTGTTATTCATTTGGCGATACATACATAGCCGTGTATTTTTGTTCTGTGTTCACAAACACGCTTATTAAGCTATTTACTTATTATGCGTGATAGAAGTTTCAGAAATGACATAAGCAGACATGGAAAGTTGTTTATACACTTAAACCAAGTCGACTTTTGCAAAAACAGTCGTACCTTTCATGGTAAGAGTACACACTCGTGATCTGATGTTGATTGTTGACCGAGTGTCTTCAACTAGGTGTGTTGAGTAAAATTTATGGAGTCAGGATCAATGCCGAAGACTCACAGAACTGTTTATTTAGATAATTCAACCACCATTTCAGAGATAAGGCATGTTTCAACAAATGTTAATGGAAACCAATTTGTTGGTATGTTGATCGGACCATATTTGATTTTTGAAGCACATAGTTTATATATCTCAATAACTAACAAATTACGTCCTATGCTTTTTCACATACTGAATTTTATCAATGTCTTTAATTCTGGTCTAATTTTGATAGAGCAAATCAGTAATATTCAAAAACAAATCAATTTACAAGAGATTTGCTTGTATCGAAAACTTAGTCATAATACAGTCTCGTAGTATATTTCTACAAATTCATCACAATATAATTAATTACAACCACTAATATTACAAAAAATAGTAACTCTTCATTTAATTAACTACTGAGAGATTTTTCACCACCTACATCATTAATAAACAATAGGTTCCCGATCTCCATAATTTGGGGAAATCCGGGGGAATTTTTGAGGAGTTTCGTGGTTTTCTCCGAAGTTGTATGAAAATTTGTAGTCTTCCGAAAGTTCGGGAGAATTTAGAGGAAGAATACAGATCAATGGGTATGTTGGTATTTTAACAAAGTCAGTGAAAATTCTGGAGAAAAACTCCAAAACCAGTGTCGTGCAGTTGCGTGAAG